TTGTCTCTTCTGTCTGTTTTCCTTTAGGCCCTTTTTTCCCCTTTGATGGAGCTTTCTTGTCCTCAGATTTATCCTACAGTGAAATAAATTTCCAGTAAGTAAGTTCCTATGACCTACTAGGTAAACCTCGAAAATAATAAAAACCACACAAAACCAAGATGGACTTGCTAAACAGTAAAAGCTGCTACCAACAACCAATGAGCTCATACATAGTTCAACTGCCAAAAAGTTTTCCAAACTATATATAGACAAAACAATCACAGTTTCAGATAGTCAGTAAAATGACAGAATCAAACTGGGATGAGAAGATAACTAGACTCTAGTGGCTAGACAGAGCAATTTGTAATATATGATTTAACCTCGCGGTGCATTAAAAAAATAGCAATGCAGTCCTTCCGCTTTCTAAAAAATACAAAACACTTCAAACGCTATCTTTCCTCTTACATTGACAGGTGGGAATTTCAGCAACGTAACCGAGTATCATTTTCAGTGCTCCTCTGTTAGTACCTCAGTCACATCCTCTGTACCTACATGACTGTTGTTAAATGGGTAGGGAAAAGGTATTTGTTCAAGGGTTACTTTCATATAAATATGTAATACAACCTCCCAGATGCTCCTTACTGCAATCAGATGCTACAAAGCTTGCCTGTCCTCCGGCTAATCCCCTTACTTACAAAATATTTCTATCAATTCACAATTACATAAATGCACTGGTTTTGACACCATCTGTCAAACGTAATAATACTAACAAAAATTTTCAATAAATGACAAACTGTAACACTTTTTCTGGGTAGGTACAACGTAAGTGGCAAGAGAACATAATGCACTTATACCTCTAAGCGGAAGATCGCTACACTGATCCACCCTAAAATGTGTCTAATCTCATTAAAAATGTTGCACGCATTTCATAAGTATGTTCTTCAAATTATGTCCTGATTTGTTGTCTCTGACCTAAAATTCACTCCAAGAAATAAAGTTATCATTTTTGCATATTTTAAGTACTGTAGAAATGTGTATCTCAGATTACTATTAGAAACCATTTGGTCAGAAGTGTTCCATACTATCTTCACTCCAAGCATTCTTCCTTACCAAAACCATGCAACTTCCTTACGTCACACATGCAACTTTTTAATAGCTACCTGAATACATTTCCTATTTTACATGAATGCTCATGTAAAATACCATCTTCATGAAAATATGGTTTTGTCAGCCAATTGCAACTATTGAGCAAAAGTGCTAAGTGTTTTACACCACTGGATACAAACATGCCATAAGTTACATTACATACACAAGAGATGCAAGGTAGAAAAATCTAATGCTGAAGCATCTTATGTCACATAACTAAATTGTCAATGTCAGAAGACTTTAGAAATTCTTTGCTCCTATTCTTAGAAAAAAAAATTTTAAATCCTCAAGAGCATGGAGAAAACAGCTGAAACATGCTAATGGAAGAAAACTCTTTTTAAAAAGTTATAAAGGCTAAACTCAGTATTACAAATTCAGGTAACAGACAATTTCACAACATGTAGACTTCTGTGTTTTGACTGTCAAAATATGTTTTTCTTCATCAATATTTATTTAAAAAAAACCCACCAAGTAACTCCATAATGAGCAAATTTCTCCCAACCAGAAAAAATACTGTCATGAAAGTTTGAGTTACAAAGTTGATGCAGAGAAGCATCTTTTAATGTATCAAATACAGAAAAAGATAATAATTTTTTAAAAAAATTAAAAAATCTAACATTTGACTGGTATGTAACAGTGAAGTATTTCTGCAACCCATTTAAACAAAGTCCAGAAATAGCTAAAATGAGAGAGAACGCACTGAAGCTGGAGAAGTAAAATGCAAACAAATGAGATTTTTACATTAACAATGAGAAAGTTTCCAAATGTCACAAGATTTTAGTGACAGCATGAGTTTTAGAACAAAGAGGATCAAATGTAAAACAAGTTTTAGATTTATTTGAATTGCCAATGGTAATTAAAAAAAAAAAAAAAGATTGTTTACATATTCGCATTACAGCAGCATTCCACGGGGGCCTCGTGCAAGGCATTCTACTGAATATTCTAAGATGACAATTGTTTGCGATGTACTTGGTTTACATCAATATGTTCCCAGCTATGACCTGTGGAAATGTTTCTTTCTGGAAGTAAAGTAGTTATAGGCAGCAAGTCAGTATCATGCGTATCAGTCAGCATCAACTAGCAGCATTAAGAAGTAGATGCACCACACAAAAACACTGGTCAAAAAGAGAATCAGAACTGAAGTGAAATTGGAAAGCTTCCCCAACTTCTTTAGGTCTTCAGCTTTGAGGATAGTAATGCACTGATATTCAAACCATTGGAATGAAGGTGCATTACTGATAAGAAACTGCTCAGTAGGATTTATAAAATGAAAACATCAATAAGTCTGCAACGCAGAGTTCGATGTTAGTGTATTTGAAATGCTTTTAATCCATACATTAAAGAGAAAAATCTTATAATCATAAAGGAACACTTGAAAATACGTATACCAACAAGCCAACAGATACACAGCCTCTTATTTCTCCCAAGAAACAAAGAATTTTACACCTCAGTTACTAGCATTGTGAAGGCTACACTGAAAATTTGAAGGGTCATACCAAACCACACTGACTTACACATGCACACAAAGACCTGAAAGCTAGACTACATGTGTGGAAACTCAGATCATTTTCGGTGGCTACCTAAGAAATTCAAATACTTTTTTCCCGTCCTAACACACTGCTTTAAATTGTGAGTGTATTTTACCCCCTTTTGTTACAGCAATGAAACACAATGCTAGGTACGGTTGCTTCAACATCCAAGCAGTTCCGCTTAGTACCAAACCGCCGTCCAGCACCTGTGAATCGGTGCCCACCTTTCTAGGCAATGCTCCGAGCGCTTCACAAGGACCTACTCAAAGCGGCGGAAAGCACCTGCAGGTACCGGCAGGAGCACCTGAACAGGATACGGCAGCTGGGTGAGCGTTCCCACGGGGAACACGCGAGGAGGAGCGAGACCGCTCGCGCACCGACGACACGGGACGGGAGCACACCGGGCACGGGCACGGCGCACTCGACCCCCTTCCTCCTCCCGCGGACTCTCACCTTTGCCGCTAACTTCTTGGGTTTCGGCTCCGCTTTGGCAGGAGCAGGTTTCTGAGAGGGAAGAACAAGCAAGGGAGAGATTCAGCCCTCGGTAATCCCCTTTTCGGTCCGGGAAGACACGCACCCTCCCCCCCCCAGCCCCCCTTCTCGCTCCCGTACTCACAGCGGACAGCCGCGCCGATCGCCTCTTCGGCTGCAGGCAGGGAAAAGAGAGAGAAACGCCGTGAGTGAGCGAGCAAGCAGGCGGGCGGGCGGGCCGGCGGC